CAGGCAGCGCCCACAGTCTCGTGCAGGCAGCGCCCACAGTCTCGTGCAGGCAGCGCCCACAGTCTCGTGCAGGCAGCGCCCACAGTCTCGTGCAGGCAGCGCCCACAGTCTCGTGCAGGCAGCGCCCACAGTCTCGTGCAGGCAGCGCCCACAGTCTCGTGCAGGCAGCGCCCACAGTCTCGTGCAGGCAGCGCCCACAGTCTCGTGCAGGCAGCGCCCACAGTCTCGTGCAGGCAGCGCCCACAGTCTCGTGCAGGCAGCGCCCACAGTCTCGTGCAGGCAGCGCCCACAGTCTCGTGCAGGCAGCGCCCACAGTCTCGTGCAGGCAGCGCCCACAGTCTCGTGCAGGCAGCGCCCACAGTCTCGTGCAGGCAGCGCCCACAGTCTCGTGCAGGCAGCGCCCACAGTCTCGTGCAGGCAGCGCCCACAGTCTCGTGCAGGCAGCGCCCACAGTCTCGTGCAGGCAGCGCCCACAGTCCCGTGCAGGCTGTATCTACAGTCACGTGCAGGCGCATCTACAGTCACGTGCAGGCGCATCTACAGTCACGTGCAGGCGCATCTACAGTCACGTGCAGGCGCATCTACAGTCAGCAAACTTTGGATACTTCGCTAAGATTCCCGGCAGTATATCATTATGAATGATGATCCCTAGTGACCTATGTCAACATTCTCTGCAACATTCCCTAGTGACCTATGTCAACATTCTCTAGTGACCTATGTCAACATTCCCTAGTGACCTATGTCAACATTCCCTAGTGACCTATGTCAACATTCCCTAGTGACCTATGTCAACATTCCCTAGTGACCTATGTCAACATTCCCTAGTGACCTATGTCAACATTCCCTAGTGACCTATGTCAACATTCCCTAGTGACCTATGTCAACATTCTCTTTGCAACATTCCCTAGTGACCTATGTCAACATTCCCTAGTGACCTATGTCAACATTCCCTAGTGACCTATGTCAACATTCCCTAGTGACCTATGTCAACATTCCCTAGTGACCTATGTCAACATTCCCTAGTGACCTATGTCAACATTCCCTAGTGACCTATGTCAACATTCTTTGCAACATTCCCTAGTGACCTATGTCAACATTCTCTTTGCAACATTCCCTAGTGACCTATGTCAACATTCTCTTTGCAACATTCCCTCGTGACCTATGTCAACATTCCCTAGTGACCTATGTCAACATTCTCTTTGCAACATTCCCTAGTGACCTATGTCAACATTCCCTAGTGACCTATGTCAACATTCTCTTTGCAACATTCCCTAGTGACCTATGTCAACATTCCCTAGTGACCTACGTCAACATTCTTTGCAACATTCTCTAGTGACCTATGTCAACATTCTCTAGTGACCTATGTCAACATTCTCTAGTGACCTATGTCAACATTCTCTAGTGACCTATGTCAACATTCTCTAGTGACCTATGTCAACATTCTCTTTGCAACATTCCCTAGTGACCTATGTCAACATTCCCTAGTGACCTATGTCAACATTTTCTCTGCAACATTCCCTAGTGACCTATGTCAACATTTTCTCTGCAACATTCCCTAGTGACCTATGTCAACATTCCCTCGTGACCTATGTCAACATTCCCTCGTGACCTATGTCAACATTCCCTCGTGACCTATGTCAACATTCCCTCGTGACCTATGTCAACATTCCCTCGTGACCTATGTCAACATTCCCTCGTGACCTATGTCAACATTCCCTCGTGACCTATGTCAACATTCTCTAGTGACCTACGTCAACATTCTCTAGTGACCTATGTCAACATTCTCTTTGCAACATTCCCTAGTGACCTATGTCAACATTCTCTTTGCAACATTCCCTAGTGACCTATGTCAACATTCCCTAGTGACCTATGTCAACATTCCCTAGTGACCTATGTCAACATTCCCTAGTGACCTATGTCAACATTCTTTGCAACATTCCCTAGTGACCTATGTCAACATTCTTTGCAACATTCCCTAGTGACCTATGTCAACATTCTCTTTGCAACATTCCCTCGTGACCTATGTCAACATTCCCTAGTGACCTATGTCAACATTCCCTAGTGACCTATGTCAACATTCTTTGCAACATTCCCTAGTGACCTATGTCAACATTCCCTAGTGACCTATGTCAACATTCCCTAGTGACCTATGTCAACATTCTTTGCAACATTCCCTAGTGACCTATGTCAACATTCTTTGCAACATTCGCTTGTTAATTACCTCAACTGGTCCTGAAGAAAATACCCATTGCAGGGCCGAGTACCTGGATATATATTATAAATACCATCAAATACTTGTACTGTTTCTGAAGCATCACAAGTCGGATTCGTCAATATGACCAGGATGAGATTGGGAAAGTTCTATGAGGATTGGATGGTTAACTGAGTGCAGTATCCCCCATTCGAGGGGGGGGGGGAGGCTGCCTAATGTGATGGAAATTAGGTCAATATTCGAAACTAACTTAAGGATTTGGAGATTATGTCAATTTTGGAGGCGAAGGTTAAAGATTAGGATATCGAAGTATCAATATCGATATCAAAGGTATGTTCGCATTCGCTTGGAAAATAAAGACACACAGAAAGAGAGGAGGAAGTAGCTATACATGCTACGTAAACCAGTAGCACTTAAACCGGTAGCACTTGAAGTGAGAGTTAAAATCTTACTGCTTGGCGATTTCAATCACCGGGAAAATTGACTGGAACATTAAGGAATCCTGTGATAAAGAACACACACACACACCAGGGGAGGAATTAGTGGCGCTAGACACTTGGGGAAGCAGTCGAGAGCCCCACACAACATGGGCAAGGGCACATGCTGCTCTGACAATATTAGATCTTGCACATACCCAGGTACAAGTGCATGGTGAGGGGCATGAAATATGAGGAGTAGCCTCGAGTCAATGGCCGCTGGGTCAAGGTCTTCGTCTTCAAAGACCAGTTCAAGGAGAAAAGGATGTGTAACAGGTGTAGGCGGGTGTGTGTGCGTGGGCGGGTGTGTGTGCGTGGGCGGGCGAGTGTGTGTGCGTGGGCGGGCGAGTGTGTGGGCGTGGGCGGGCGAGTGTGTGGGCGTGGGCGGGCGAGTGTGTGGGCGTGGGCGGGCGAGTGTGTGGGCGTGGGCGGGCGAGTGTGTGGGCGTGGGCGGGCGAGTGTGTGGGCGTGGGCGGGCGAGTGTGTGGGCGTGGGCGGGCGAGTGTGTGGGCGTGGGCGGGCGAGTGTGTGGGCGTGGGCGGGCGAGTGTGTGGGCGTGGGCGGGCGAGTGTGTGGGCGTGGGCGGGCGAGTGTGTGGGCGTGGGCGGGCGAGTGTGTGGGCGTGGGCGGGCGAGTGTGTGGGCGTGGGCGGGCGAGTGTGTGGGCGTGGGCGGGCGAGTGTGTGGGCGTGGGCGGGCGAGTGTGTGGGCGTGGGCGGGAGTGTGTGGGCGTGGGCGGGAGTGTGTGGGCGTGGGCGGGAGTGTGTGGGCGTGAGTGTGTGGGCGTGGGCGGGAGTGTGTGGGCGTGGGCGGGAGTGTGTGGGCGTGGGCGGGCGTGGGTGGGCGTGGTCAAGGAGAGCGATTTACGGAGATGCGAGCAGGAGGAAGCCCGTACTTCTCCAGCGTTCACAAAGTCACTAAAATGATATACTAAATTCCCCGAACCTAACCTAACCTAACCGATGACCCACCAATAGAAAACGGCTCATCACGTCAATTTTGCGAGCCGCTATGATTTTGAGTACATCTTGATGTTGGGGATGTTATACACGAGAGACCATTTCTGGGATGGGAGTAGAGAAGGGCGTGGGAGGAGGCCTACTGAGAAACGTGGGAGGAGGCTGTAAAGAAATGCATGGGAGAGAACTATACAGGAGCATGGGTTACCTGGGTGGTCTCACCTTAATATAGGGAAGTATTACTTCATATACATCTAAGGCCACCAGGTGTATTGATCAGCTATAATTACCTGCATCCCCCCTTTCTCTTGTCTATCCCAGTCTCCCAAGCCTAGTGATTATGTAGTTAGGGCGATTATAAGGTCAGCAAATGAACAACGGTCTCTCTTTCATGTAACGGCTAATTCCAATGTTTAAATTACAGCATGACGATCGTTAGGGACTTAAAGAGTGTGACACATCTTTGAAATCACTTCCTCTCTCTCTCCCTAACATTTTCACCTCCCCCTATATCCCCCCCCCATACATAAGGGAGTAAACAAGTATTAAGGGAACTCTTGAAGAAAAATGAGCATCGCCCTCCCGTGACGGTTATTTTTTAAACAGGTTTGTAGCCCGTTTCAAAAAGACTCAACACCGTCTTCCGGACCCCTGCTAGCGTATGCTTTTGAAAAATGTGACCTTCAAATGAGCATTCCCAGAGTTTAGCATCGTTATCCAGAGTGGGCGTTGTTTACACAAGGGTCGCAGGCTACAGTGGGCCCGAGTCTCGCACGCCAGACTGGGGGATGTGGCGACTGCGCACGATAATAAATCGATTTTAGACGTTCAAGGCTGCCAGAAGCCCGATGGCTCTAATCTGATCTATGGCGTTGTATTATATCTTTATTTTTCATTACAGTGTTATTAAAGGGGAATTTAACTCAATTTTCAGTGATTACTGAGCGCGTTGTTGACAATTTTCTTTCCTGAGAGCTTACGTCACCATTGCTAAGAGTATCGTGCGCGATCTTCTGAACTAATGTTGCCAGATGATTATTTCCATACCGGGCCGCTAAGGTGAATTTCAACGTTCCCGCCTTCAGTTTATATTTGACTATTAATAGATGGCTTATCTCTGAGCGATCTTGCCATCTTAAACTCCCGGAAATATAGCACACAATGTTTATCCTTGAAGATATCCGACTGATTCAACCGGCCAGCCTGTGGTTGGTGTCCGGTAGTTAACTTGTTGCGTGTAGACGACAGGAGCAACAAGACGCCCAATTTGGCCACACTGGCACCTCACTCGTCAGAGTAGGAAGGTGGCGCCAGGTCCCGCCACCAACCTCAAGTGCAAACTCTATTCTGATTAAAGTTCGGAAGGCAGGTATCGGGTAAGGTGGATGTGTACCCCGCCAGCAAGCGGTACCGGGGTGCTCTTTTCCCTCCAGCTCTCCTCCATACCTCACTCTCTCTTTCATGTTTCCCTACCTCCCTCCCTCCCTCCCTACCTACCACCCCCAATCTCCTACACACACACCCTTAAGGTAGTGTGTGGTGGAGGTGTCCGCTGAGCGCCCGCTTGCCTGTGTTCTCCTGCCCTCATCCCTCGTCATCATCACACAGCTTGGGGTCAAGCGTTCCGAGGGAGACCTGCGCCCCCTCTCCCCTCCCTTCCCCTCGTTGCCAGGGAACCCCAAGAGGGCTGGAGTACAGGGGCGTCCTGGTAGTGTGTATGTGTCCATGGGGGAGAGAGCTTGGAAGCTACGTACTCTACTTCCGGCAGTAGAGTGGAGTGTACCACACACCACGACACATTCTCAACGACACATGATGTGTTCCTGGGTGTAGCTGTGAACTGTATACTCTCTACAGGAGCCATCTTCTCCACAGGTGAGTCAGCAGACGTCGTCTAAACATGGCTCTCACTCAGGCCACTGGTGTATACACACTAAATTATTGGTTGTGGAAATCTACCTGTTGAGCACCTTTATATGTCACTGTTGGCCTTTGTTAAACGTGTTGCTGGAGGAGGTGGGAAGACGGTGCTCCGTGTGTGTGTGTGAGCATATGGAGCACCTCAGACAACACCCGCTTCCGTGTAGGAGGCCAATGGTGTTACGGCTTCCTGTGTTCTTATATAAGGCATTCTCTGGACCGTACTTTACACCAAATACGTAAAAAAGTGTTTGTGTGTGTGTGAACTCACCTAGTTGTAGTCACCTAGTTGTGTTTGCGAGGGTTGAACTTCGGCTCTTTGGTCCCGCCTCACAACTGTGAAACAACTGGTTTACATATTCCTCAGCCTATTGGGCTCTATCATATCTACACTTGAAAGTGTGTATGGAGTCTGCCTCCACTACATCACTTTACACACTGTGTGTGTGTGTGTGTGTGTGTGTGTGTGTGTGTGTGTTTTATAATTTACACCCCGCAGGATCGAGCTATTAGCCACAATCGCAGGCAAAGAGATTGTCGTTTTCAAATACTTCTTTCCAAATTGCCTCATTCCTAACAATATTAATGTATCATGTTGGCAACAGTAATTATTGAGATAGGTTAGATTTCTATATTAGTCACATTTGCTCACATTACTATATTACGTTTGACTCAAGTATATACAAATCTCAATAAAATATAAAGCAACGAAAACCTTCATTCCAATAGAAAAAGTTTTGGAAAAATGCAATATTTCAAGAAAATTCGGCTTGTAAGGCAAATCTGTCATTATATATTATATATTATATATATGTCGTACCTAGTAGCCAGAACGTCGTACTCGGCCTACTATGCAAGGCCCGATTTGCCTAATAAGCCAAGTTTTCCTGAATCAATATATTTTCTCTAATTTTTTTCTTATGAAATGATAAAGCTACCCATTTCATTATGTATGAGGTCAATTTTTTTTTATTGGAGTTAAAATTAACGTAGATATATGACCGAACCTAACCAACCCTACCTAACCTAACCTATCTTTATAGGTTAGGTTAGGTAGCCGAAAAAGTTAGGTAGGTTAGGTAGTCGAAAAACAATTAATTCATGAAAACTTGGCTTATTAGGCAAATCGGGCCTTGCATAGTAGGCTGAGAAGTGCGTTCTGGCTACTAGGTACGACATATTATATATATATATATATATATATATATATATATATATATATAAAAAATCAGCCAATTAATGCACAACTATATTCTACCCACTTCATGATCCCGAACCAATTTCTGCAGTTACTTCCATTCTTATGTTCTCATACCCCATTGTTTCGTGTTCTGTCTTGTGTTTGTCACAAGTTTGTTCACCTCACCCAAAACGAGTATAAGTACGATGAATTGGTGTGTAAATTAAGTCTTTGAAAATGCAATAAGCTATTACGAAACGCGTTCAGGCATCAAACCATAAATAAAAATGAATTTTGGAGAATTGATATTTCCATTACCACCGACAGTGAAGAAAAACAAAAGAAAGAGAAAATTAGTATTAGAATTATTAATCTAACCTTTTCGGTCATATTCAACAACATGTGTTTACAAGAAAGACTGCGACCAAATTATACTAATAAAATAAATAAATATTATATTTTATATATATATATATTATATTTTATATATATATATATATTATATATATATATATATATATATATATATATATATATTATATATATATATAATATTATATATATATATATATATATATATATATATATATATATATATATATATATCCAGGAATCACTCCTGGATAGACTATGCAGAACGGACGTCTATCCTATCCTGGATAGACTATGACGAACCTAAACGTACACAGTACCGTGACCACCGCACCACTAATCGTCTGACGATCAATGGTGCGGAGGTCACGGTACTGTGAGAGTTTAGGAGTGATCCTGGACGTCATAGGTTCAAATCCTGGCCAGTTAAGAGTTCTTAGAGATTATATTATATATATATATATATATATATATATATATATATATATATATATATATATATATATATATATATATATAACTGAAAACTAACACCCCGGAAGTGATTCGAACCCATACTGCCAGGAGCAATGCAACTGGTATATACAGGACGCCTTAATGCACTTGACCATCTCGACTGGACAAAAGGAGGTGATAGCCGAAGCTATTTGAACCACCCCCTCCCGCCGGCACCCGGATGGTAATCTTGGGCATAGCATTTTACTAAATCACCTCATTCTTTGGGGCACACGTGAGGAACACAAATGTGAACAAGACTGAATGGTCCCCAGGACTATATGCAAGTGAAAACTCACACCCCAGAAGTGACTCGAACCCATACTGCCAGGAGCAACGCAACTGGTATATACAGGACGCCTTAATCCACTTGACCATCTCGACCGGACAAATGGCTTGTTCGCATTTGTGTTCCTCACGTGTGCCCCAAAGAATGAGGTGATTTGATAAAATGCTATGCCCAAGATTACCATCCGGGTGCTAGCCGGCGGGAGGGGGTGGTTCAAATAGCTTCGGCTATCACCTCCTTTTGTCCGGTCGAGATGGTCAAGTGGATTAAGGCGTCCTGTACATACCAGTTGCGTTGCTCCTGGCAGTATGGGTTCGAGTCACTTCTCGGGTGTGAGTTTTCAGTTTATATATATATATATATATATATATATATATATATATATATATATATATATATATATATATATATATATATATATATATATTGTGGAAAACCCACAGAGAAATTTACGGGCTCACCATAGCCCGTGCTACATGGGCATTTCGTTCTGGGTAGCTAAATCTAAAACAACAACACAGAGATAAATGGGCAAGGAAGTGTTGAACGTTTCCAGGATAAACGTTCAACGTTCCCTTTCCTATTTCTCTCTGGATTTTCCGCATACGCAGAGCAGTAAACAATATTTATATAAACAAATTTTCTTAATAACCGGGCATTGGTTATCCTAAGTTATCATGCACGGCAATTTTTATTTAATAGTTATTCAAATTTCATGCAGTGATATTTTTTGTTACAAAATTATATATATTTAATACTAATTAGAGACAGACTGAGGATATATAATTAGCATTAGACCGAGGTAGGGTGCTCCGTGTGCCGCCAGAGTGAGCACACAGTGAGCACACAGTGAGCACTCATTAGCTGCTCTCATATTGTGAGTTCAACAGGGGTTTGTTTACGTAATATTTACGACCGTAATATCTTGCTAGGATAATATGATTTTTTTTTTTTTCATAAAATACGTGTTTGTTACGTGTGAGAGAGAGACAGAGCATATATAGCTGTCACGAGGGCATATATAGCTTTGTTTACAATCTTGAGATGATTTCGGGGCTTTAGTGTCCCCGCGGCCCGGTCTTCGACTAGGCCTCCACCCCCAGGAAGCAGCCCGTGACAGCTGACTAACACCCAGGTACCTATTTTACTGCTAGGTAACAGGGGGATAGGGTGAAAGAAACTCTGCCCATTGTTTCTCGCCGGCGCCCGGGATCGAACCTGGGACCACAGGATCACAAGTCCAGCGTGCTGTCCGCTCGGCCGACCGGCTCCCCGAGGGTCCAGGACTTGCCAACAGATATATTTCCAGGTCCGATATTTTGATTTGTATATACCAGAGGGTACAGCAACAGACTCCTGTTGACTCCTGTTAGCAGGCTGAGAGCTTTCCCTTCCCCGTAGTTCGTGTAGGGTGTACTGGCCCACTTGTCCTCTAACAAAGAACGTCGCTTTTCGCACGTATGCGTTACATAAGGCCAAAAATGCTCCTAGTAGAAAATGGAAGCGGCTCGGCCACGTGACATACTGCCCGTTTTCTGTTTTGGGTCCTCTGGTAGGTTAGGAGAGGACGGGCTGCTACCAGAAGCTACGGGTGCTCCCGACGTGGTCCTAGCGTGAAGGGGGCGTTCTTCCAACGCTCGGCGTTCGCAAACAGTTTGTTGAATCGCGGCGTAACCTCAAAGACCAGCCTATCTACCTGATGTGATATAGTACCTATTGTAACTATGTAGTCGATCGTACCAATATGCAGTAATGGAGCCCCAGTTAAGCCTCTTTGTATAGACTCCGGAGAACATAAGCTAAATACCAAACTTAAATCTCCCTAGGCCTAGTATAGTACATATATCTACTATATTAGGCCTCAGATAGCGTGTATTAGGCCTAGGAGGGTTAGGTTAGATATTATTGGTAATATAATTATTAAAACTTTTCTGGTTTTATAGACTGTAGAGTGATAGACTGTGGAGTGATAGACTGTGGAGTGATAGACTGTGGCGTGATAGACTGTGGAGTGACAGTCTGTGGAGTGATAGCCTGTGGAGTGACAGTCTGTGGAGTGATAGACTGTGGAGTGATAGACTGTGGAGTGATAGACTGTGGAGTGATAGACTGTGGAGTGATAGCCTGTGGAGTGATAGCCTGTGGAGTGACAGCCTGTGGAGTGACAGACTGTGGAGTGACAGACTGTGGAGTGACAGACTGTGGAGTGACAGACTGTGGAGTGATAGACTGTGGAGTGATAGACTGTGGAGTGATAGCCTGTGGAGTGATAGCCTGTGGAGTGATAGCCTGTGGAGTGATAGCCTGTGGAGTGATAGACTGTGGAGTGATAGCCTGTGGAGTGATAGACTGTGGAGTGATAGACTGTGGAGTGACAGACTGTGGAGTGATAGCCTGTGGAGTGATAGACTGTGGAGTGACAGACTGTGGAGTGACAGACTGTGGAGTGACAGACTGTGGAGTGACAGACTGTGGAGTGACAGACTGTGGAGTGACAGACTGTGGAGTGACAGACTGTGGAGTGATAGACTGTGGAGTGATAGACTGTGGAGTGATAGACTGTGGAGTGATAGCCTGTGGAGTGATAGCCTGTGGAGTGATAGCCTGTGGAGTGATAGC